GCTGTTTCGACGACCATCTGCAGCATTTGCGCCAAGTGTTTGCTGTTCTTCGAGACAATAAGCTGTATGATCGAAGCGAGAAATGCTCATTCGGCAAACGGTTTGTTGAGTTCTTGGGTCATATCATTTCGGCCGAAGGTCTGCAAGTCGACGCTCGCAAGATCGAAGCTGTCACAAACTGGCAGACTCCGCAGAACAACAAGAACTTGCAGCGTTTCATCGGACAAGCTGGCTACTATCGACGATTCATTTAGGGATTTGCACTGCTAGTATTGCCGCAAGCAATCTGTTGAAGAAAGAAACGGCCTGGTGTTGGCACGAGGAACAAGAACGTGCATTCAACTCGCTAAAGATCATGCTCCAACAAGCACCAATACTGCAGTTGCCGGATTTCAAAAAGCCTTTCATTGTCACTACGGATGCTTCGCATCAATGTCTTGGAGGTGTCTTGTCACAACAGCATGAAGACATCGATCTAAAAGTGGCTTACTATTCGCAGAAACTCGGTGTCCATGAGGTCAACTGGCCAGTCCACGAAAAGGAGCTCTATGCAGTAAAACAAGCGCTAAAACGCTGGCGACACTATCTTAATGGCACCGGATTCACCGTCATTACCGACAACAGCGCCTGCAAGTGGTTCTGATCGCATAAAAATGTATCAGGCAGACTGGCTTGGTGGTTGGATTTCTTTGGTCAATTCCAGTTCGAGCTGAAGCATCGACCTGGCCATCAGAATGTCGTCGCAGACGCGCTGTCACGTCCGCCACTTGGTACCGAACCTACTCCAATTCGTGCTCAAAAGGTTTTCCTGGGGGAGAAGGTCAGTCTATCAAGCTCACAAGTGTCAACCGGAACCAAGCAAGCCTTTATCCAGCAAGGAACCGTCATGCAGAACAACGTTATAAGCTTTGAAGACTCGGACACGATCGTCACTGCGCAAATGGAAGACAAGACGAAGAAGTTGATTCAAGAAGCCTACGAGAAGTTCAGCTCCTTCAGAGACGTCTTTCGAGGCGAACGACAGGACAAGAGATTTATGAAAATCAACGGACTCATCTACTTGAGCAGCGACAAGAAATCCAAGAGACTCTGCATTCCAGACGACGACAAGATCAAGGTTGTCTTCCTGCAGGACAGTCATGACGCAGCAAGCGCAGCACATCCAGGCGTGATGAGAACGTATCTACTGATATCTCAATGGTATTAACAACTTGCAAGAAGATGTCAAAGAGTACGTCCAAACTTGTGAAGCGTGTGCCAGATACAAGTCAAGCACCTCCAAGAAGAACGGACTGATGCAGCCTAATACAATCACGTCAGAGTGCTGGGAGACGATTTCGATGGACTTTATCACCAATCTGCCAGAATCCGACGGCTATGACGCGATACTGAATGTTGTTTGCAGGCTGTCAGAGCGACCAGCATACATTCCGACGCACACCAACGCCACAGAGCTCGACATGGCCAAGATCTTCTTCGACAACGTCGTTCGCTACTACGGATTGTCGCGCATCATCATCAGCGACAGAGATTCAAAGTTCACAGCAGCCTTTTGGCAAGCGTTGATCGAGAAGATGGAAGTGAAGCTGGCAATGACGACGGCGCATCGGGCACAAGTAGATGGACATTCGGAAAGTCAGAACAGAACGCTCGAAGACTTCAGCGCGAAAAGACAGTCATAAGTGTGACTTCAAAGGCAATCAAGATTCAATAAAATTATACATGCAGGATCGAAAAATGAAAATGAAAAAATGAAGAACCAGTCAAAGATAACGCGTCAAGGAAACTCAAGATCAAGAACAAGGAAAGATAAAGTCTGGGGGAATGCAACATATGTACTATGTTATGTTTTATGTAATGTACGCAACATGTTATGTTTGATGTTACCGATTACAATGGTACAGGGCCGCACCCATCGTGTCCACAGATGTTCACCCATCT